ATACTTAATAGAGCTATGAGATAAGAGAAAATGTTTTGTCTGTACATATTTTTATTTTCTATTTTTTGATATCAGAATAAAAACACGTAGGTGAAGTTAGCACCATATTCGGGTAAAACCTTCCCATATTCGTCCAGCAACGTGTTCCAAGTGTTCCAGCACGGTTCCAAGTAGAACTCGACGAGCTCTATCTAATGGTGACCTTGGATCAATCGTAATCCAAACCATTCGTGAGAAAATTCCAAAATAGTATCTTTTCACTATGTGTATGGTCACGAAAACCTTTCCATATTTGTTCAGGAATGTGTTCCAAGTGTGGGTGTGAGTGTGGTGGGTGTGGGTGTTGGTGTGGGTGTGTGAGTGTGTGGGTGTGGTGGATGTAGGTGTGGGTGTGTGAGTGTGGGTGTGGGTGTAGTTGATAACGAGACTACACTCACACCCGCACCCACACCCACCACACCCACAACCACACATCCACACCCACACCCTTTCTACATTAGCATTTTCAACCTTTTGTTGGAATACTTTTAAGCAGTCGATGGCATTGGCTGTCTTTTCAACTTCAAGTCTAGCTTTTCCAGTTAAATGTCGTGGTACTGCCTTTTCATCTGCACTATGGTCTTCGGGTGTGGGTGGGTGTGGGGTGTGGGTGTGGTGGGTGCGGGTGTGAGTGTAGTCTCGTTTTCAACTACACCCACACCCACACTCACACACCCACACCCACACCTACGCCCACACCCACCACACCCACACCTACGCCCACACCCACCACACCCACACCCACACTTGGAACACATTCCTGGACAAATATGGAAAGGTTTTCGTGACCATACACATAGTGAAAAGATACTATTTTGGAATTTTCTCACGAATGGTTTGGATTACGATTGATCCAAAGTCACCATTAGATAGAGCTCGTCGAGTTCTACTTGGAACCGGGCTGGAACACATTCCTGGACGAATATGGGAAGGTTTTAGTGACCATACACATAATGAAAAGGTACAATTTTGGGGTTTTCTCACTAATGGTTTGGACTACGATTGTTCCAAGGTTACCATTAGATAGAGCTCGTCGAGTTGTACTTGGAACCGAGCTGGAACACTTGGAACACTTTCCTGGACGAATATGGGAAGGTTTTACTCGAATATGGTGCTAACTTCACCTACGTATCCAATGAATATTGACATAATGGACCAAATCTTGGTAATGTACAATTATAGAATAATTGTGTTGCCATGAAAGATGATTGATTTGAAATTGAAAGATGATTTAAATAGAATTGATAACGTTCAACTACATCCATAGGTGCTGACCAAAGATATAATTGTTGACTAGTAATATTTTGTTTGTAAAGTTGATTGAAAGTAAATTTTTGATCAACACTATTTTCTTCAATATTCCATTTTGATGACCATTCAGTTAAACAATAAGAAATAATTTGATGA